CACACTGATCGTTCATGTAAATTCGACGTAATAGACGCTGATTGGATAGAAAGCGTAATTTCCAAATCGGGCGGGGGTACATAGATGTACCCGTTAGCATCTACTGCCCAAAACAAATTGGTAAAATCAGATGATTTAATTTGCGCTTTATAAATTGTTGACCTAAAAAGAATATTATAAATAAGCTCAGCCAGAAGCATAAGAATAAAGACAAATTGTTAAAAGACATACATTTTGAATAAACTTTTTTTTTGAGAAACGAAACTAGGATTTTCAAAAAGGAATGAGACCGTTTTTATAATGAAATATTTTTCATAAGTAAAAAATAGTACGGTATTGGTATTGAGACATTTACATTGTTGGAAGTGTATAATCCCAAAATTTGGGGACATCTTAGAATTACAGCATTCATTTGGAAATATGCGTATCGGAATAATTCTCCAAACAAAATTTATTAATAGGCGGATACTAAAAAATTTTTATGAAAAATATGGAAAATTGGCTCAAATTAGGGACCTGGGCACGGTACTATTCAAACATAGATCGTTATTGATATTTCCAAACTTATATTAACGTTAACTTTTTATAGTATGTGACGTAAATCGCCAATGCATAAACACTTTTCGAGTACATTCAACATATTTTTATGACCATTCTGAAAGATCTCAAGGTTCTTTCCACTTCCGAGTTTAAGCGAGTAAATATGTAATTTCTTGTATTTGCGTATACTGAATACATTGAAGCTTTGCCGATACGTATACGGATAATATGCAAAAACATCTTTGCGTGAAGTTTATTAATAGGCGGATACTAAAGAATTTTTATGAAAAATATGGAAAATTGGCTCAAATTAGGGGTCTGGGCACGGTACTATTCAAACATAGATGTGCATGTACCCGGTACTATTAAAACATAGTGCACTTGCAGATCCCTAGTTCAAACATCTCATAGTATGGAAAATTATATAAACACAGCTTTTTCTTTCCTATCGATGGATGCTATAGCCTACTAGTTTTTTCGCTATTATCCTAAACTTCGAATATGTCTAATATCTTAACAGTAAAGCCACCATTATCAGATCAACCGAAATCGGGTCCTATTTCTGGTGATGTTTTTCTTATTAGTCAACATGAAGTTGACGTCCAGGTTAAGGATAGCAAGGATGGCAAATGCAAGGAATTTGAGATCAACCTTATCGGTTTTATTGCTTTGAAGGGAAAGGCGTGTCTTGAACCACCTTCAATTAAAGTTTGTGTAAATGCTTTTGGCTTTGATCTCGGATGTATCCAAGGAGATCTCGGTAAAGGAGTCACTTTAAGCGTAAACTTGTTGTTGATAAAAGGGTACCTTAGATTTTATCTGAAAGAAAAAGAAAAACAAAAATGCGTATGGTTGGAATATGATCTTACTCTCACTATTGGTGACATTAATTATCATGGTGATGTAAATTTGTTCTGTTTTTAATCAAGTGATATACCAAACGTATTTCGATGTGTCAAATCACATGAGCGCAAACGTGACAAAGCGGAAGAATAGACAATGTCAAAATAGTAGTATAGACTAGCTCTTAGGCCCGGGCGATGCTCCGGGGCTAGGTCTTAAGTGTTTTTAATCTCAAATTCAATAGTTTTTTAAATTTCAAAATATGT